TTCTAGCACCTTATTAAAGATGATATCTTTCTTCTGGCAGAGTTGTTTGCCTCGTTGAGACAGGCTGCTTCTATGGGAAACTAAATCTGGGATGTCAAATTGCACTTCATTGGTACCAGTGAGGTAGGATATGCGAAACTTAGAACATTGAAGAAAACAGCATAACATAATCCTGGTTATATACTTCTAAGGGTACCAGTATTTGGATTGAAGCAGACAGTGAGCCCCCAGATAGGTGATTGATAGATGGATGGATGGATGGATAGATGGATGGATACAAGGATGGATGGATGGCAGAAAGGATAGAACATTATTTCCTGAAATAAAATAGCTTTATAAGTATTTCTATGACACTGGCACCGAGGAACTTCTTAAAAGATTCTAGTGAGCATGAAAGAATAAGTAGAAATGATTACTAAAGATGTATAAATTGTCACTGATCCTATATTTACTTAGCGCTTTTTTGAAATTTTTGTTTAAGTGATTATAAACTTATTAACATTGACTTTAATGTTCATGTGATCTCAGTATCCCAATCCTTTTCTTTCCTTAGCAATTACGTCCATTTTCTCAATGTTTAGTTCTCAATTCGTAATGATTTTCAAGCACCTTATTTTTGAGATCAGGAAAAGGCTATGTAGAATTAAAGGAACAAATGAGCTACTAGCCCATTCACTGGTCTTTCTTTGTAGCCCAGGCTGGCCTTGAACATGGGGCAATCCTGCCTCTACCTCTTGAGTGCTAGGATTAGTGGCATGGGTTTATGCCTGGGCTTGGTAGAATGTTAATATGCATGTTCTTGCTTCTATATTTGACAAAGCATTTTACTTTCTCTCTGAAAAACCTCAGAGTTGTGTTTCATATGATTATACACAAAAATCAATAGTATTCCCTAGATTATGGATAGAATAAAGGTGGACTATAGGAGCAAATTGTTTATTCCAGCTGAAGAGCTACTATGTCCAGATTTGATAACCATTTTAGAAAATTCTGGTGCGAAGAGAAAAAATATATTGCATATTTGTTTTCTCTAATGAAAATATTTTATTTACTGTTACTTTGAACACCCTGATGTTACCAACTCTCACAGAGCTTTAATTTCTTTGTACTTTAAATATAGCATCTTACTGCAGCCAGACCATCTAGACAAGTTGAAGAGGACTAACAGCAAGGCTTATTTGGTAGACAGGATTTAGAATAATCTTTAAGTCTTTGTTTTTAAAGTGATTTGAGCATACTCAGTGAGGGACTCTTCTGCTCCTTGGCACAAAAATATAATAGTTGTATTTTTGCCATTAAAAGTAACTTAAGAGTCCATTGAAAGAGTGATTTGAAATAAACGTACTAATGGTCTTAACTGGTAGTAAGCAATGATTTGAATTATGCTCAAGTTAAACTTATTCTGTTATAAAAAGTTAAGAAAACACCTTCATGGATTCCATAATTAGAGTTCTTGTTATGCTGAAGAAATTCAGGCTCTTTTTAAAAAGCAAACATAAGCTAAAGTATTTTTAATTCTTTGATTTTTGTTGAAATAAAAGACTATGAGATTTTAGTTTTTATTATTTATTGCTATGATCTGTTTCCATTCAACCATATATGAAATATGTGAATTACAATTTTTTAAGTCACTTATCAGATCAGAATAAATGGAATTTTGAGGGCTCTAAAAGTTGCGTACATACTAAGCTGTGAAAACAATCACCTATGAAAGTTTGTTTAAATGCAGTCTGGTAACTCAGGGAAATTAGAAAACATGATTTCTTCCTTTACATTTTACCACATTTTAAAATTGAGAGTACAGTAATGTATTTTAGGAAGGCATAATTTTTGTAAGATAATTGAAAATATGCTAAAACCACAAATGTATATCTATTAAACCAAACAATGGATCATATGATTAGGCATATAGAACATTATATTCAGAAGCAAGACTAAGGTTTTAAAATAAACCATTTCTATTACAGAATTATTATTTAAATTGCACAGAGACTAGAATATGGGTATTGCTAAATGGAACCTACAAGTCAGTTTTTTTGTGAGGAAGAAGAGAAGTTGGTATTTCCTTTGCAGATGGGAAACCTGAAAAATGGTGTAAGAGGATGGGGGGTATAAAACAGAAATTGAGGCAAAAACATTTTAGTGAGGCTTCCAGAGCAGTTGGAAAATAATTTTACTGTGTGGGGCCTTCATGAAATACCATACCTAATTGTTGACTGCTTGACTTGAAATGCAGTTCTTACAGTAATTAACTATGGAACGGAACACAAATCATGTTAATCTCTCTGATCCTCAGCTTTCTTAAAATGTAAGTGGTAACACTTTTTAGGATCTTTAGGAAGATTAAATTAGCAATACTATTTAGAATTTAGAACTCAATACTTGTTAGCTAGTATTTCTGAATTGAAAAGCAAGTAGATTTACCAGTTATGACAAGCATTGGTAATACTTGAAAATGTTATTCAGAAACTGTATTTTTAATCATTAAAGAGTAATATGATCTCTTGAATTATTTTGATATATAGCATTGTGTGTGATTTTTCAGTCATTGGTTCATATTAAAATAGGCATGGAGGGGTTGGGGATTTAGCTCAGTGGTTTCGCCGCCTGCTGTGCAAGCGCAAGGACACAAGTTCGATCCCTGGTACCAAAAAAAAAAAAATCACTTATTAAAAAATAATAATAATAAAAAATAAAATAAAATAAAATAGGCATGGAAAAAACATTAATCATAAACAGTAGATTGACTTTTACCGAAAATCTGAGCTCATTTGCAGTGCATTTGTGTATAAAGAAAACTTTATTAGTAGCACTTCCAAACTAAGCAAGGATGATAAAACCTAAAGAATAGTTATCTTTTAGATCTAGTAGTTACTGAGGTCTCTATCACTGTTATGTATATAGCAAAATCATTGATACTACCTGTGTTTGTTACAGTTTTCTTTTTCAGAAGGAATCTTCACAGTTATGTGTATATGAATACATTATTTTTGTTGCAAACTATTTCTGAATCTGTTTATAAGAATTTTCAAGAGTAAAATGTTAACAGCCTATCTGTCCTGAAGGGAAATAATTCAAGACTTTTTTAAAATTAAATTTTGATTTTGTATTTAAGCAGAGAAAATATTGCTATCAAAGAGTAACAACCACACTGAGTTAACTTTAAAAATTTTAAATTCTAACACATTGGTTATATATGAGGTTTTAATTAAAGTTTTTATTATAGAATATAAACTAATTTTTCTTTTTGTAACAAATATTTTATTGTTTGCCTGCCTACACAGTTTTCTTAGGAGAATACCAAAGTGTATGCAGTATATAATCCATAAACATTATCTTAGTTTATCTACACTGTTGTTGAATTCCTGTTGTGTTCAAAATTTAATCCTAAACCAGCAGGTTTGGGGATTATCCTTTCAGATTAAAAATATAGTTTTAGAAAAAACTCAAAAATTATTTTTTGTAAATGCTATGATGACAGTCTAGTAATAGGCAGTGTTCATAAAAGCTCAGAGCACTTCTTTAACAGGAATGGTAGAGCTGCTTTATAGTTGCCTAGGACGACTATAAAAACTAGCCAATCTGTGACTTTAACCTAGTTCTTCTGAATCAGAATCTGAGCATGGCTCTTGGGATTCTACATTTTAAAACATTCAGTCATTAAATGCATTATAGTTTGAGATTCCCTGCAACTACCCATTTCATCATGGTTGGATCCATATAATCTAAAATATATGTTTACTGAAGTATGTTTGTGTATATGTTTATATGTGTCATGAAATCTTTGAAGTTATTTTATATGTTTATTAGTCAGATTAGCAAATACATATTTCAGTATTTCTTTTTTTTTAGTAAACTTTTTTTCATTACCAGGAAACAAACTCAGGACCTTGTGCTTGCCAGGCAGGTGCGGCACCACTGAGTTAAATCCCTGGCCCCTAGTATTTCTTATAGACATCTGTAGACACTGTCTTTTGGAAGTTAATGTCTTATTATTAATATGTAGAAAGAGCCAAATAGTTGATGATAAATTGTTTCTCAAGTGGAAGAAAAGATACTGATCCTTAAAAATACCTAGGTCCTGGGTCTATTTCATGATAATAAAATCAGAATTATCTAAAGAACAACTAAGTCGTAATTTTTTAGAAAGTATCTAAAGTGTTTTTAAAGTACAGGTTGAACTAGGAAACAGGAATTGACACAAATGACCAAAGGAAAAATGATATTGTTCCTTTGAACAATGGAACAATGACATTGGAAGAGTGACATTGGCTAATCCAAAATAGCGTTTATGTTTGCCTTGAGAATCCATAATATTCAAAACCATATACTAAAATCATGGCACTCTAGCATCCAAATCCTGTTTCCCAAACTGCATTATCAGGGAATCAGAAGGCATTTTCTCATTTTCTTTTAAAAGGGCTACTCTAATAACTTTTCCTAAGTTGATGTAAAGTACTGATTCAGACTTTTTAAGTGATATGGGGGATAGAATTTCTACTTTTTTTAATGACAGTATAACATTGAACTTGTTGATTTCTGTGATTTTTTGGCTCTTTTGTCAATTCAAATGTAATCAAGAATATAATATGATAATACTGAACAAGAGAAATATTTTCTAGGATAAGGCTGTGTTCACATAGGACATCAGAATCAATGTTTTCAAAATTATTTATTAGAATTTTTCATAGAAAGTCAAATAACAGCACAATAAAAAATGCTCATCTTTATGAGGTAGATTTGAAACCTCAGTTCGGTAGAACTTTCTGATTCTGCCAAATGGACAATCTCAAAATTACCGCTTTTTATTTATACAAAGTGTGTTCTATAACAGTGGTGCCATAGCAGGCTTTTTTTAATTACTGAAAACTCTAAAAGATTCATTATCACTGTTCTATAATGTACACTTTCATAAGTCATAAGTTCAAGATTTTCTATTATAGTTAAATCAAAAAGTATGTATAAGCTTCAAATTCATATTTTCTGTGTTTCTCTTTTAGATGAACATTGGAAACGACAATTTCTACATGTGTGAAGGATATATTGAAGGCTTGTGGTTTACAGACAAGATCTTTAGAAATTAGACACTCAAGGTAAATTAAACTATAGCCTCATAAATAATTTTATTTCAATGATTAGGTTTGCCTTATTATAAATACACTTGCTATATTTGCTTACTTTTCAACACAGTTCCTAAGTGACCTCTTGAGCACATTCCTTGATAGTCAGACACAAACTTTTATACCTTAATACCATCTTGACAAGAGAATATTGTTCTTTTGTAACAGTTGATTAAAAAATGATACATTATTATAGAAGGGACTAAGCAATTAAGAAGAATGAGGAAGTAACGCCATTAAACTTCTAAGCACGACTTACTATAATATTACTTGAAAACATAATTCATATCATTTACTACACTGTTTCTTTTTTGCATGTTAAGACTTTACTCCACAAAACCTAGCATAGTTTTATATGCCTGTAGGATTATTACCTTTAAATACCAGACCTCATTATTTCATGACTTTTCAAGGGTTTCCCCTGACCTCACCTGTCCTTTCCCTTGTTCGTCCCTCCCTTGATTGCTTACATTCTTCTGTGAATATAAATTTCTAATTATATTTTGATAAATTACAAGTGAAGTTTGAGGATAAAAGGATGTTTGAAATAATACAGTTTGTCAAGTGGGGACAATGAAAGTCTACAGAGAATGTGGTCTGCTTGCCAGAGGATTCTTGCCAAGTAGGAATGGAGACCATAAAATCAAATCTTAGTTTTTTCCTAAAAGAAATCAAAACTTTTTACTTGGAAAGGATGAATTTTTCAATAGCAGCGTAAAATTTTGCCTGGGAAAAAAAATCTACTTTTGCTGCTGTGTGAACAAAGTAAAATAGTTTACAGCCTCTCGTAGAGTACTTTTATTTCCTTTGTTCTCATTTTCTTTATTCATTTAAATTAGAAGTATGTAGAATTTATTTTTCTCCTTTATGGTTAACAGCTTAGTGATTTCCTTAGGATTTTGTGATGAATATTACTGTTAGAAAGGATTTCTCTTAAAAGATAAATGATATTTAGTTCTAATTCATTTTCGTAGTTATATATGAAAAGTTGGTTGCTTGAAATAGGTATTTGTTTTCTGAAATATAAAGATTAGATAATTATTTTTATAGTTCCTTCATCACCACAGTCTAAATCATATCCTTCTGATAAAAAAAGTTTTTGTAACTGACCTTTTGCACAGAGAGATAATATAGTTCTCCGTTCATAGCACACTGTCATCATTCCTCCATGAAAAGCACTTATTTTAGTTGTTGATATATTTTCTACTCCCATTCTCCTCATTTTGACCCATAGGAAACCGCTCTTATATGATATTCTATAATAATATCTATTGATTATTCTTTTTTGTATTTTCACATAAGTATTATGCATATATGTATTTTTTTTTTATATGTCACCTAAATAAAAAGAAAGCCGAGTGTGATAGCACGTATCTGTAATCCTAGCACTTGGGAAGCTGAGGCAAGAGGGTAGTCGGGAGTTCAAGGACAGTTTAGACTACAGAGTGAATTCAAGGTTAGCCTGAACTATATAACGAGACCCTGTCTCAAAATCACAAAAAAAGGGGGAGAGGGATCATTTTATGAACTCTCATGTGCCTGTCTCTCATTTTCAACACTTACCATCTCATGGTTGAGTTTGTTTTAGCTATCTTTTATCTCACCTCTCCCCCATTAATAGACCTGAAATTTTTTTTTTCTATTGGCAATCACCCACTTTTTAAAAATTAATTTTATCACTACTCTTTTGATATGCATACTAATCACACTGAGCATAGGGAATTTGTACCTGTACATATCTTTTTTTTTTATGAAATTCTTTGATTGGTCCATTGTAGGTATACAACACAATTACATTTCTCTTTGGGAATTGTACCTTGACATAATGCATCTTGGTTCTTATTTTTTCCCCATTCCTAGCCCTCCCTTCACCCCCTCCACCCTTCCCTATTTACAAAGACTTTATTTCCATTTTTTCCATTTCTCATCATTTTTCCCTTCCCTTTTTTCTTTTCCCCTGCCCCTCCCACTACCCCTACCCCACCTGTACATATCTTGAGTCTTCTTTTTCCTCATTCCCCTCCCCTCTTCAACCTTTCATGCCTTCTTTATTTACAAAATGTTTGTATTTTTTCCACCTATTCTGTTTTTTCCTTTTCAACTCTTTCCCTCCCACCTGCCCTTCCCTTGCTCCCCTTCCCATTTGAACATTTTCTTCCTACTTCCTAATATCTGTCATTTACTTTGGTCCTTCTTTATGCTTTCTCACTCCAGAGAAACAATGCAGTATTTAAACATGTTTGTCAGATTTACTTCACTTAAAAGTATGATCTCATGATGCATGCATTTACCAAAAAATATCAGAAGTTTATCCTTCTTGATGGCAGCATAGTGTGTGACATTGTATATGAAACCCACATTTTCTTTATCCATTCATCCCTGGATGGGCATCTAGGTTGGTTCCAAGATTTAGCTCTATTACACATTGTGCTGCTGTAACATGGGTGTGCATATATTGCTGTGGTATGATATTTTTACCTCTTTCAGGAAGATAACAAGAAGAATAGCTGGGTAAAAGGAAACTTCTAGTTTTACTTTTTTGAAGAATCTCCATAGTGATTTCTGTAGTGCTTGTACCAACTTACACTCCCAATGACAGTGGAGAAGTAGCTTTTTTCCCCACAGCCCTACCAACATTTGTTATTGGTGGCTTTCTTCATGATAGCCATTTTTTCTGGAGTGAGATGGAATCTCTGCGGTGTTTTAATTTGCATTTTTTGAATGACCAATGATGTTGAACATTTTTTCATATATTTATTTGCTGTTTCTGCTTCCTCATCTGAGAAGTGTCATTCATTTCAGATGCCCATTTTTGGACTAGGTCTTTAATTTGGGAGATCTGATATTTTTGAGTTCTTCATATATTTTAGATATTAGTCCTTTGTCTGAAAAATAGCTGTTAAAAAATGTTTTCCCAGTTTGTGGGTTGTCTCTTCACTCTGTTGATGGTTTCCTTTGCTTGGGCAGGGGATTTAGCTCAGTGGTTCTGCCACCTGCCCCATGATCGATCCCCGGTACCAAAAAAGAAAAACAAAAGACCTTTGCTGTGCATTAAATCTGTATGAAACCTTTTTAATAAGATGAGACTCCAGTTGATTCTTTGTACAACAAAGGGTTTTATACAGGGTTTTAATCATAAAGTCTTTGCCTACACCTATGACTTCAGTAGTTTCACCTGTCCTGTCTTCCAGTAGATTTAGTGTTTCTGTTTTAATATTTAGATATTTGATCCATTTTATTTCTTTTGAGTGCATGGTGCAAGATATGGGTCTATATTTAAGCGTCAACGCATGGAAAGCTAGTTTTCCGTGCACCATTTATTAAAAAGGCTATCTTTCTTCCAGTGAAGGTGATTGGCCTCAAAGGTAAGGTGGCTGAATTTGTTTGGAATTGTTTCTTTATCTACTAATCTGGTCCACTGATCTTCAAGTCTATTTTTCAGCCAGTTCCATGCTATTTTATCACCATTTCTTTGTAGTATACCTTCAAGTTGGGAATTTGATGCCTCCTGCCCTGCCTTTGTTGCCCAGGATTGCTTTTGCTATTCTAGGTCTCTTCTGGATCCAATTAAATTTTAAGAATGTTTTCTCTAGTTCTGTGAGATATACTATGAGTACTTTGATCAAGATTGCATTAAATTTGTATGAAAGTTTTGGAAGTATGACCATTTTGTCTACCTATACAAGAACAAGAGCCAGGCATTGTGATGCATGCCTATAATCCTAGCACTTGGGAGGCAGAGGCTAGAGGATCACTGTGAATTCAAGGATAGCATGAGCTACATAGTGAGTTCAAGGCCAGCCTGAACAACATAGCAAGACCCTGTCTCAAAACAAACAAAGTACAAGGGATATCTTTCCATTTTCTTTCTCCCCCTCCCCCTGCCCCAGTACCAAGGATTGAACTCAGGCCCTTATGCTTCGAAGGCAGGCACAGTGCCACTGAGCTAAATCCCTGGTCCTCCATTTTCTGATATCCTCTTTGATCTCTTTTTTCAGAGTACTGTAGTTTCAAATAAAAGGTGTGTTTTACTTACTTTGTTAGAGTGATTCCTAAGTATTTCTCTTTTTTTTTGATGCTGTTTTGAAAGGTATTATTTCCCTAATTGCTCTCTCAGTGAGTTTGTTATTTGTTCACAAAAATGCCATTGATTTTTCAGTGAATTTGTATCCTGCTGCGCTACTGAATTTAGTTATTAAATCTTGGAGTCTTTCGGTGGAGTTTTTAGGGTCTTCCATGTAAAGTATAATGCCATCTGCAAACAATGATAATTTAACTTCTTCCTTTCCTGTCCTTATTCCTTTTATTTCTTTCTCTTGTCTAATTCCTCTAGCTAATATTTCCAGAACTAGATTGAATAGGAGTGGTGATAGTGGATATCCTTGTCTTGTTCCTGATTTGAGAATGAAAGCTTTCAGTTTTTGACCATTTAGTATTATGTTGAGTGTTGACTTGTCATAGATGGATTTTATCAGATTGAGATAAAGACATTCTGTTCTAATTTTCTGTAGGTTTTTTTTTTTATCATGAATGAGTGTTGGCATTTGTCAAATGCTTTTTCTGCATCTATTGATATGCTCATGCAGTGTATTACATTTATTGATTTGAATATGCTGAACCATCCCTGCATCTCTGGGATGAATCCTACTTGGTCGTGGTGTATAATCTTCTTGATGATTTGCTGCCTTCTGCTTACCAGTATGTTATTAAGGATTTTGCATCAATGTTCATTAAGGAGATTGGTCTGTAGTTTTTTGGGTTTTTTTCTGTTGAATCTTTCTCAGCTTTTGGTATCAGGTGATGCTTGCTTCCAGGAATGAATTTGGGAGTATTGCTTCCCTTTCAATTTCATTAAAGAGTTTCAGGAATAGTGGCATTATATCTTCTCTTAATTTCTTGTAGAATTTAGCAATGAATTCATCAGGACCTAAGATTTTCTTCGTTGGTAATTAAATTACTTCTTCACTTTCATT